CCCCAAAACCCCAAAACCCCAAAACCCCTGGATTAAAAAAATCAATGAATTTAATAGTTGGATAAATTATATAGATATTGAAGAAAAATAAATGAAAAGCACTGTAACATAAAATTAGAATGTCAGTATCGCTAGGAAAAATTCTAAGGAAAACCTTCTTTCGAATAGATCCTCTTAGCCTCAGTAAAAGCAGAACTATATGATTTAATAGCAGCCTATGATTAACCCAGGAAACAATTCCTTGCGGGAGAATTCCTTAGGCCCAGGTAGCAATAGCAATGCAAATAACAGTACAAGCAATAATAACAATGAGGGATCGCAAGACTCAAGATTGCCAAATCAGCAAAAAATCATTACTGTTAACAATCCTTCTAAAGCAATTATGAACCGAAGAATCAACAAAGTAAACAATAACTAGTTATATAACGTAGCCTTCTATAGATTTTGAAAAAAGACCCAAGCAACCAAATATATGGAGGAGGAGGCGGTATGACATATAGATAAAATAACGACTAATCTACCGGGAGTGGATAATACTACACCTAAATTAGAAATTAAAATATGATTAGCGAGCAACCTTTAACAATAAATCCTGGGAATCAAGGATAAGTTCCGTTCTAAACAACAATTAATTCTCCAAGAGTTCCAATTCATGGTAAAGTTATCACCTTTTTATGTTTTTAGGTGTGAATTTATCTGATCAAGTTATGGATAAACACTTTTAAGTTATTTAAAATAACTAGGGTTAGATCAACAATCTGTAGCAGCCAAATAATAGCAATACTAATTCAAATAATTTGAGATAAAAAGCATCTAGAAATCTTCCTTAGATTCCTTCAGTGAAGCTAACATCTTAAAAACAGTAGATTGTAAATTAGTAGTAGATCAATCAGCTCAGAGAAAATAATCAGCTGAACAGCAGTCATAGAATAAGATTAACTTCTATTAACAATTCATAAGATATTACTAGCTAAGGTCTTATAGCATCTAATTCAAGAGGCTTTTAGATTCAAGGTTAGAACTACATGAACTCTTCTGTATAGTAGTAACCAGCTTAAAATATCACAAATATACATAATATCAAGAACTATAATAACTACCACTTTGAAATAAAAGGGGGTGCTTAAAATGGATCTATTAATCAATTCATGCCTGAGGATAGCAGATCTCTAGATAGAATCATAGGAAATAACAGTCTGGTGAATAACTCTATTCAACAAGACTAGTTTAACTAAAGTGTTAAACTATAGCAGATGATGATAACCAAGAGACCAATTTACAACAGTCAAAACCCTAACTAATCTCAGTCAAACTTTAATCAGTCTAATGTGCTGAGCTAGCATTAGTAACAGTAGTAAGTTGAAACCAGAAACTCAGCAAGGAAAAAGGTTCTTAAATAGAATAACTAGAGTATAGATTTTTAAAGAGTCAACAATCAGATTAATTTGTCCAACTAAAAACGAGCGCAAGATAGTGTATCTAAAAACAAGTTTATGCTTACAATGAGTAGACCAAATAACTTCTCTAATCTTAATGATGACAGTAGGAGGTTAATAGAGAACTCAAGTACTAGTCTTGATCCTAGGAAAAGAATATCACCTAAGGGTATTAATGGTAGTCCAGGTATATCTAGTTTGGCAGCGGATGCTGCTAATTAAAGCATCGATGAACCAAAAAAGTTCAAAATATAGTTTCCAATGCACCCCAGAGATGCACTGCTCCATCTGTCCAAGTATCTCCTAGAATGTGAGAAGAATGAGATTCTTGAATATGATACAGTATATTTCATTAATCTGCTTGAAAGGAAAGGGGCTGGTTTGACTACACCTGACGGAGTTGAAAATAATGGATTCGACAATGATAAAAATGAATATATTTGCGATGTCCATGACCATATATCCTTTAGATTTGAAGTAGTAAAAAGACTTGGCAAAGGTTCATTTGGATAAGTTTTCAAATGCTTTGATCATTTTAAGAAAGAGTTTGTAGCCTTAAAAATATTGAGGAATAAGAAGAGACTATTTAAATAGGGACTCATTGAAGTAAAGTTACTTGAATAACTTAGAGATAATGATCCTGAAGATAAGAAAAATATTATTAGAATCAAGGAAAGTTTCGTATTTAGAAAGCATCTGATACTCTCATTTGAAATGCTCAGCATAAATCTTTATGAATTCATTAAGATGAATAATTTCTAAGGCGTCTCTGTTGGCTTAGTTAGAAGATTTGCAATCCAATTACTGGTAGCTTTACATTTTATGAGAGAGCATAATATAGTGCATTGTGACATGAAGCCTGAGAACATTTTACTTAGAAAATCAAATAAAAGTGGTATTAAGGTCATTGATTTCGGTAGCGGAACCTATGAAAATGAATAGTTCTATACTTACATCTAAAGTAGGTTCTATCGTGCACCAGAGATAATGATGGGCATCAGATATACACCTGCCATTGACATGTGGTCACTCGGATGTATCTTGTACGAGTTGTATGTTGGCTATCCAATATTTGCAGGAGAAGATGAGAAAGAGTAGATTTAATGTATTATGGAAGTCAAAGGAGTTCCACCAAGATCTATGATTGTTATGGCAACTAGAAGAAAAATCTTCTTTGATGATGACTATTCACCACTTGTTACTCCCAATTCAAAGGGAAAAGTGAGAAAGCCTAACACTAAAAATTTAGAAAAACTGATGAATTGTGACGATCCGACTTTTGTAGATTTCATAGATAAGACATTAGAATGGAAACCAGATAAGAGAATGTCTCCAGAATAGGCATTCTAGCATCCTTGGATAAAAGCAGGTATTAAAGAGCTAAAGTAAAAGATTGAGCAATAGAACCAGCAAACTTAAAGGCAAAAAGTGGCTGGGACTTAGATGCAATAGCCTGTTTCCAACATTGAAAATTTAAGTTAGAGAAATGAGCCAAGATATTAATAGCAGTCTAGCAATGTCCCTTTGACACAAAATTAATAATCTTTTCCCAATATAGCTCATTAGAGCAGTAGAGGAGGCTTTGGTCACACTTCGAATCGAGATCTTCATAGTGAAGATAGTTAAAGTAAAACTAACCCTAATGAAAAACTCCCTAATATTTGAGGCCAAATTGATTGCCTTTGACTAGTCTTAACAACATAGCAAAAATTGAATTATATTTATCTATTTATTGTGAATTACAAATTTGAATCTTTAAATCACATAAAATTTAAAATTAAATACTAATGGGGTTTTGGGGTTTTGGGGTTTTGGGG